GGTGCAGACTTTCTTGTCAGTAGAGTTTTCATCATTAATTGATCTTATTTCTGTTGTTCAAGCATATATACTGTTGAATCTCCCCAAACCGATATGCATAGTGGACCGATTTTATATCATTCTTGAGAGGTTATCAGGTTTGGAAAACATTATAAACTATTAGATTTATATGACGTAAACGGACTTTGTAGACTAATTTTCTATCAGATTTGACAGGTTATCAGTTTTGAGAGGATCGATTTAGAGAGGTTCAACAGTATATACCAAATAACCACTTGTAGTGCTCTCATAGTAGCGCAAATTGTCTTTTCGTAGTGATGCAGATTGTTTTTACTAGTGGGTTTTTGTTGTTGTTTGGGGGTTTTTTTTTCTATTGTTTCAGTATGTGTATATGCCATAGTGATCCAAATCGTTAGTTGAAAAACCAACTAGTTGACAACTAGTTGACTAATCGATTGGAAATTTTTTAATCAACTAATCGTTGGTTGATTATCTACATAATAAATTTAAAACGTAGAATTTTTTTAGCCAATCAGAACGGTTTAAAATGATACAGAAAACACGTGATTATTTATCATGCCAATCAAATTTATTGAAAACATGTGACTATTAGTTGCAACTAATCGACAACTAAGTTGACAACTAATCGATTGAAAAAATTTTAATCAACTCGGAACACTAGGTACAGCCATCAAAGTAAACTGTGTTTTGGGCTTCTGTGTTTATAATTCAAACATTAAGTTTAAATGCTTTTGTGTAATCATCAGGTGTTCTTATTTTTACTTTCCATCTTTGATTGCTTCACATTATAGACATCTTATTTCATCTTGTCATATTTATTATATTATGCACATTTTCGTATTTAAGTTCTTTTTATAATCATAGTATTTTTTCATCTCTGTTATACAGATTTTTTACATTTTATATAGAATATGAATAAACTTTATACTTACCAACTAATTAAATGTAAATGAAATGCTTGTATGGCAAATAACAATATATTCAATCAGTTTCCGGTCTGGAGAGACATAGTTACTTAATTATAATATTATAATATTATACTTTAGTTATAGTATCGCATTACAATATTGTGTTATTGCGGCATTATGGCATTATAGCATTATGGAATTACGGCATTACGGCATATAATTTTTACGGCAATTAAATGCTTTGCCGTAATTAATTCTACCACTGGTAGAATGCCGTAATTGCCGTAATTCAGTAATTCCACCACCAACTATAGGATGAACCCCATCGTGGTAATTGGCGTATCACGAATAAAGTAGGAGGTTTTTGCATTACTATTACACAAGTGCTTGGTTGTACGGATAAAAGAAGTGTTATAAATACGAATTGAGTGTTGAATATGTAAAAGAGGTGTCGAATGTGTGGGATTGAAATATTAAACATGATATATAAACAAGCCTTTGTAATTAATAAAAGATAGATATATAGTATTTCTTTTCAATTCATGCCGTTAATTGGCATTTGAGATCACTTGGATATAAAAATTATGTAATAAATAATTGAACAGTAAATTAAATTTATTTATTGAAATATAATTAAGCAATAAATTAAAAATTTATTAAATGTAATTGAATGATAAATTAAAAATTTTATTTATTAAAAGTGAAAAAAAATTATTTAATTATTAAAAAATCAAAAACTTGTACTGTATACAATTTACAAAATTTATGCCCCAATTTTAAAACCTATACTTTGAAACTATCAAAATCCATTCCAAATTGCACACTTGTTAAAGTACTTATAGCTCCCTCAACAAGTAAATCTATATTATTACAATCAATATTTTTATCTAAAAAAAATTTCATCACCGGTATCATCACTGGCTTCAGCATCCTCTTGTTTGTTCAAGCTCTCTTTTTTTTCGCTTTCCCATCTGATTCCAGTATTGTTTGAAAAGCCTTACAATTTCTTTTGATTCCGTTTATGAGATAATCAATACAATATTGATATCGGCTTCCTAATTTGAAAAAAAATACTCAAAATGATAAGCATGTCCACAAATTAAAACACAACCTACCTCACAAGAATCTACACATTCCTCTAAGTCACAAAATCTGTTATTGTAGAGAATATGTAAAGTATTCCAAGCTATTGGCAAGGTATCTAAGTCGACTTGAGTTTTTAGCATTGAAAATTCATACTTTTCCGGATTTGAATGTGCATCAAAGAAAATAATTTTTAACTTGCTAAGATTTTTGTAAACATTTGTAAAAAATCTTAGTAGAAAAAGCACTGTATATTTTTCAAGATATTCTAGCTGTTTTGCTGAATATCTAATATTATAACCTTCAGCAAACACATTCGCAAAAGAATTTTTGCCACACATTTGATTAATTATTCATGCCTCTTGAATAACTTGCTTTGCCGTATTTGATTCATGAATTTTTCGCTGAAGTGAGCTGTAAAAATTTTCTATGTAATAGTCATTAAAGATGTGACTTGAGTCTGTAAAAGTTTGTGAAATTGGGTGATTAGAACTGAACCAATAAAAAATATCACTTAAAAACATTAACGGTAGTTTATTATAAGGTCTTCATTAATATTGATAAAAAATAGCCCAAACTCGAAACAATGCTTCTAGATATGCTCGCCAATTTCTACTTCAAAAGATAATAGTATAAAAATCTAAAACCAACAGAACAATGTTATCTAGCATATTAATAAGGTATCATGCTTCAGGATCTTTAAAACATTCAAATTTCTGCAAAACCATAGAGCGAACTTGGAACTAGCCTTGACACACTAATTCTAAAATTAAATTAATTCTATAAGGTTTTGGCTTTTTTGCTAGTACCTTATTACATCCAAAAAATGGCATGAAAAAGTAAATCAAAAAAATGATAATTTAAAAGAAACACCATTTCATGACTATTTAAAGATATATGCAAAGGTCCAATCATTAGAACAATATGCAAAATTTGCTCTGGAATTCCAGAAGAGTCTCCGAATTTAATACGACAAGTGATGGCATGCCGTACATGAAGTTGTCCAGGGTAATCCATAAGTATCATAAAAACTTGCATCCTCATATAAGCCTCTGCTTTGGGGATATCTATTAAAGACTTGAGCACATTAATATATTCCTCAGTTGAATGCAGAAATCCTTCTTGTAAATCGACAAGTTTTGTATTTTCCATGCTTCGATCCGTCCAGTGTTGCTCAATTCTATTGTCGTAACTATGAATTAGGAGATATTCAACTCATTCGTCATGAGTTTCTTCTACAGATAAATCAGAAAATGTATTCTTTTGCCCTGTATAACTTAGCCATAAATTAGAAAAAAAAAGTGAGTCTGCATTTTCAATAATAATATTTGATTCAATACTTTTTTTATTATAGATTCTTTTTTCCTGATTGGGATTATTAAATGGAATTGAGGTTAGTTCTGGCAATGCTTTTAAAAGAATCGTAATAAAATGTGTAGTATCATATGTGATAGTTAAATCACTATGATGAGATTCGTGAATATTATGAAAATCATCCACATTTAAAACAACTAAATTTTCAATCTATTAAAATTAATGTAATTAGTTAAAAAAAATAAAAATAAAAAAAATTAAATGAATTAAATTAAATAAATTAAATTAAAATATTTAAAATTTATATACTTACATTCTCTGTTAAAAATGCACACACTGTCTCCGTATATGTCTGTATATGTTGAGCCTTCTGTTTTGTGATTGTTTCACATCTTACTATTAGGCCTGCACTAGCCAAGGTTTTAATTGCCGACGAAGATGTATCGGATGCATCTAGCAAAAATCCTATCTCTGCTTTAATGCCATTAATAAATTTGTTATTAAGACCTGCAATAAAATAGCAAAAAGAAACAAGTTTTTTTTTATTTTTTTCGTTAGTTATATGGCTCTTATCTTGCAGATTTGTCCTAACTACCATTAATCAGAAAAACCTCTTAATGATGGTTTAGCATTTTCAAGTATTTTTTTGAACTTATCAGGATCAAAAATAGGTCTTTCATTATACACACGTTGTCTTGTGTATAACACTCCCGCCATTAGTTTGATTTTCATGCTCAGAGGAATTTGCTCTAAAAAAAAACTATGTAAGAAAAAAATAATTGAAAATATATTACAAACAAAAGTTGTCTATTTACCTAGTTTTGTTTCATCGAGTTTTGCACATACTTCATAATAAGCAAATTCCAATTCTTGAAATTCATGTTCAGAATAAATTACATCACCACGTAAAACATATTATGACCTATCTTGAAATCATTTTATGCTTTCTTTTGGAACTTTTTCTTTTGGTAAAGGATAATCAGGTGAATTAACATATTCCGAATCAATTTCTGTTTTATATAAGCAATGATTACATATCATTGCTTCCTTTGGCAGATTGAAAAATCTAATCAAACGTTCTGGTGTCCATCCAAATTTCATTCCTTCAGCACCTTTTCTAGCCGTGGCTAAATAAATTTCATGTTTAGGATGAGAGCATAAATTAGTTAGTTTAGTCTTCTTTTTTTTTGCATTCACAATGTATTTGTTATAATGTTTTGGGCACAAAGCCTTGTTAACCAGATCTAAATGTTGACTTGATGCTGGTATAGTTATTTGATTAGTTATGACTGAAGCGCCATAGCGATCATAATCACAAATGACCTCATCATAACTCTCCAAATCACAATAACAAGCTTTTCTTTTTCCTTTTTTCACGTTAGAGCTGACTTCGTAGTTTTGTTTTTGTGCAGACATTTTGTTATATATTACTGTATTGATACGCTTTTACGTGCTAGAAAATGCAAAAAAATTACTAGCTATATTCTTTAATCGTTTGATGAGACGTTACACGAACATTAATTCTCCGAACCAATAGAATTTATGAAGGTCACCAAATGATCTACAAAAAGGTTAACCAATCACAACGAAAGCCCGCTATGCTATTGCACACCATTAGTTGAGCCATATGTAACATCCATATCCCATTCCTTTACTGATGTTGTTGAACTTTGACTACCTTTCACATCGTAGCCAAATGCCATTTTCAAACCTTGAGGTATTCCCGCCTCCATCTGTATTTTCTTTTACTTTAGATATACTTATAAAACTATTAGAATTAAAAGGTGCATGGCTTTCTTTCAACATAATCATAGGAAATTCATCTACAGATTCATATGACTCATTATTGATATTGAGTGCTTCATAATTGAGCTCAATTGATTCACAGTGATAATGATCCATCAATTGGCATAGACGATTCATAATTAGGCTCTGATGATTTGCCATTGTATTTGGGTGTAATTTTTTTCGGAATGACATTAATGTCCAATGAATCGAGATAGTAAAAATAAACCCGCAAAGTGACGGACTTTGATTACTGAGAAGATATTCCACGCTGCAATTTTCCAAATATACCATAAATTCCAAGTTTTTCATATCTTTATATTTAGAATCATGTTTTATGCTTGACCAGAGATTGGCAGTAATGTTGAAACATTGCGACTTTTTATCCACAGTTTCGACTTTAGCATCAGATGAAATTTCAATTCTTTTATATTTTTGCATCAATAATACTATCATAATCACTATCATCGCCGATATCATCATCGTTATTATTATTTTTATCACATTTTCTAGAATTACCAATGTTATTATTTTTATCAAATTTTTTAGTAGTCTTTGAAGTTGAAGCTTTATCATCACTAGATGTGTCATTAACGTTGCTAGTTTTATTTACTGACTCATTCAGACCACCACCGTAACTGTTGTGGCTGTCTTTTACATCTACTAAATAGTATACAACATCGAAATTGTTATCAAACGCTTTAGAAAGGTGTTCCATGACTGATTCTTTAAGAGGTTTGCAACCCAACAAGCGATACATAGTGTAGAATAATTATTTTGAAAATCTGGTCCCACAGCATATACATTCTGTAAATATAGTATGAAATCAATGACATCTTTCCTTTCTTTAAGTTTTGAGAACAACTGTCCTGCTTCAGAGTACTCGGTAATTGAAGGTTTTTGGGAAATGGTCGAATGCACTGATATGAACTCAGAAATTTCATTTAATGCTTTTCCAATAGTGATAACAGGTTCAGAATACTTAATTCTGCTGAAATTATCATCGACATTATCGGTGGCCGAATGCCTCCTTATTCAAAGAATTTGCATAACTCAAAGGCCAAAAATCGTCGTCATGGGTGACCGGAATAGTATCGAATGTAACCTTATTCAAATTGGGATTCAAATTGGAAAAATTATCACTTATTTCCGCGAAATCTGATATATCCTTATTCAAATAATTCAAATAGTGAACGGAATAACATCGGGTTTACCCTCCTTCAAATAGGGATTCAAATTAGAAAAATTATCACTTGTGGCTGCGGAATCGAATGTCCCATTATTCGAATTGGGATTCAAAAGACTCAAACCAAATGTCAACTTATTCAAATCAGAATTCAAATCGGAAAATTTATTATTCAAACCGCCTAGTTTTTCCACTTGATTTTTTGTGCATTTTTACTAATTCTATTTGCTTCATCAGCTAATTTTCTTTTTTGTTCTATAGTCATTTTTACTATTTTTGCTTCATCGGGGCGTATGCCTTCTTTCCCTGCCATGTAGTCTAAAAAACTGATGCTATTTTTAAATAACTTGCATTTCTCAGGGTTGAGCTATTCTATTATCTAAGTATACTGCGATGCTCTTTTCTATGAATTCATAAAGCATGTAGTTCATTGCTCTTTGGAAGGTCATAGAGGCATTGCATAACCCAAAAGGCATTACAGTGAACGCGTAATTGCCTTGTTTAGTTACGAAGGCCTTCTTTTCTTGATCTTCTTTTCTCATTCTAATCTGCCAGCCAGAACCTACTAGCTAAGTCAAGTGAGGAAAACCACTCAGCTTCTCCGAATGTCTCTAATAGATTATCAATTCGAGGTAAAGGAAAAGCATCCTTTTTTGTGATAGTATTTCGCTTTCAGTAGTCAACACACAGCCAGAGTTTGCCATTCTTTTTCGGAACTATAATAACAGGGGATGTCCAGGGGCTTTTGATCTCATAGATTAATCTATTCTTTAACAGTTTGTTAATTTTCTTATTCAGGAAGTCTTGTTTGTCTGGAGCGATCTGATAGGCTGATTGTTTGATAGATTTTGCATTACCAGTATCAATTTTGTGTTGGACTTCCTGATACTGGCCCAGCTGGTCCAACCTACTTATAAAAAGTTTTTTGAATCCTTTTAAGATATGTTTCGCTTCCTCCTTCTGTTTCTTTTTTAGTTTAGATACTTGCACTAATTCTTCTATAACCTCTTCAGGGGTTGGTCAAGCGTGTGAGCTTTTTCTGGGGTTGGTAGCTCTTCTACAGCTGTTTAAGTATATTGCCAGGCTGCTTGAGTTCTCCCAAAATTGGGTGCAGATTTCTTCAGCATCATTGGTATAGTAGCTTTTTACTTCTTTAATATTATGTTCCTCTTCATACTGATCAAAAAAGTCCTTCTCATTCTCAGGATCTGGAGGCAGTTCTAACTTGTCTTTCTTGGCTTGGTAGATTGGAATTTCAATACTTTTGTCTAAGTATCTAATAAGTAGCTTCTTTTTGTCAAAATGTAGACATGCTCAGACTTTTTAAAACCAATCCATTCAAGTAATATCATTTTGTCAGGGCTTTCAATAACTTGGAAGTTGGTGGGTATTAACATAGTTTGTACTTCTACTTTTATACCTACTAACTTCTCTAGTACTCTTTCTCAGATACTATTGGCAGTAATAATAATTATATTGGATAGCTCCATTATGGTTGTGTTTAGCTTTCTGGCCAATTTATTTGATATAATACTAACTGCAGCTCTTGAATCTAGTATGGCTAGTATTAGCTTATTTTGAATTTTGATATAGCACTTTGCTGTAGTTGTTTTTTGGTTTTGTTACTTTATTCACATTAGTAGCTTTCATGAATATGGTCATTTTTTTCAATTTTGTCTCCATGTTTGTTTTGTTACCCTTTGTGAATAAAGCCAACCTAAAAAAAACCTGTATTGTAATAGCCTTGTAAAGGTATAAAAGTAAAAATTCTTCATGTCAAAAAAAAAACAGAACTGAGTTGAATTATAAACTTTGAAGTCATAATAGTAGAAGTAACTCTAGGTAGTTTTACTTATCCTTAAGTTTTATTCAATATAAAACATTATGTTATTACTTGCTCTATCCCAGTATTATCATAAAAACCATTTCATCATATCACTCAAGTAGAGTCTTGGCTTTTTGAAATTCAAGTAAAAAGTATCAACTAAGTTTTTTCTGATAATTGACTTTTATTAATAAAATACTATAAAACCTTTTCTGAATTTGCTTTTGCTATATTTTTGATTTTTGTATAGAATAAGAAAAAGAAAGTGTTGATTAGTAATTTAGACCTTATTAAACAATAATTGATTTAGCCTTGATCAAATATTATTGTTATCTCTAAATCAAAAATCAATTAATTTTGCAAATTCTATGACCTATATAATGATTATTAAGAACTCTAACAATCAAATTGAAGACTAAAGCCCCAGTATCCCTAAAAATTAGAAAGAAGAATCACTTTTAGCTTTATACCAAAGCTTAGAAATAACCCAAAAAAAATAGTTTGTAACTATACTTATCTTAGTCTTCAGTAATACTGCAGTAAGGCTCAAGAAGGCTTTGAAACACAGACAAGTCTCTCTATGCTAATTTGAAGTTTTTAAAGTTTTTGGATTATAAATTAGTTGCTGAAGCATTCAGAATTAGCTAATTTTAGCTTTAAATAATTAAGGCCCACTTTTTCAATTGGTAATGACTATGAATTGAACTTCTTAACCACTCAAATCTACTCTACTCAAATATTTGAAATATAAAAATAATAAATACCAAAAACATGTCAAACTTAGGCCAATTTAAAGATGACAGAGTTATTAAAAATCATTGAATTATTGATAATGATAGACCTATCAACAATGAAAATATACAAGCATCCAAACCAACACATTAACTTTTCAAGAAAATTTCTAAGTTTTTTGAGATGTTGCCATACATAATAGTTTACCACATTCCTATGAAAATAACTAGGTTCATGTGAAAACCTTCAAAGATAAAGAGAACAAGTATTCTGTTAAATAGATTGAGACCTTTAAATAAGCTTCCAATACAAATAACTAGATAATATAAAGATTATATTGAGCTATTTATTAAGAATTGTAGCAAGCTAGTATAATGAAAATAAGAATAATCTTATTCTTTAGAATATTAATAATAAAGAAAATAAAGAAGATAGCTTTATTTTAGTATTACAAAGTACTTTGCTACTACAAAATGAAAACACCAATTGTAGTTAGAATTACATGTATTAAAACAAAAAAAAAAGATAATTAATATGTATACCAGTTCAAGAGACTATTGAAGCAAGTCAACTCTAAAAAAAAATCTCTGCAGCTTATATTATAAAAATATTTCTAGGAGGCCTATATAAAAAAATTGCTATATTAATATCTTTTAATAATTCTAAAACCTTAAATAAAGCTATTGTGAATACCTATAAAATAGAAGTTAAAAGCTATTATAAGAGAGAAAAAAATTGTAACAGAAGAGACTACATTGTCAGAAACTGTTTAGAAGAATAACAGAACCACTGGGATCTTCCACCAACTTAAACAGAATACAGTTATATTTTAGAAATATTAATATATATAATATTAATAGCCCAAGAAAGTTTATGCTCTAAAATAACAAAAATGGCCCAAAAGCAAAGTTTGCTAAAATAAAAAGCTACAAAAAAAAATTGTGACCAGTAGTACTCCGCAAAATCAAATCAAATTTTGAGTTTGAGTCAAATATTTGAAATTATTTAGTCAAATTCTTAATTAATTTGATCAAATATTTGATTCAAATTCAAAATTTGGTTTGATTTTGTGAAGTACTAGTGACCAACCAAGATTATTCCATGGAACAAACTTAGCCTACTTTTATAAAAGAGGTTACCCAAATACCAACTCAACCTTTACCTGAATTGAATAACTAAATTAGGTGCAGATGAGTATCTTCAGTTGTTGATTTAATACCACCATATAATATTGCTAATGATTTATTGAACCTACAAGCCAATGCCACATATAGCCAGTTACTGCAAGTTCTGAAGCAAAGACAAAACTTGTTACAAACTCTATAGTACCCAATTGTTACC